TCCATTAATCATTTCCTTATCAGTTATAGTCAGAAGGTGTCTAAGTTGTAGCACATTTGTATTAGATGGAGAGGTTACTCTAACTTATTTAAGTTGGTGCATTTCTTACATAGTGTGATCACCATGAACTTTTTCTAGAGTTGTTTCCTTATTAGTGGTTTAGACTAGAGTGTGTATTGATAAGGACATCAATCTTCCTTAAGGGGGGGGAGAGTGTTACGAATATGACTACAAGTATCAATATTTATTTGTCGGTTAGTCCTTTCGGATATATTTTCCTTACTGCCATAATAACAGAAGGTTGGTATTGCTAGACATTTTATTAGTTTCCACCTAATCTAGTTGAGAAATTGATTATCATGTATGTACTTATGTTGAATGAATATAAAGTAGGAACTTCTATGTGTTTTTTGTTGAGCGTACTCAACTCAATATGAAAAGCTCACATGTTGGCTTGCACTTACTAGTATTAGGAACCCTTGCGATATTGAGCTTGGTCCTTCAATATTGCCAGATGATAGCTTACCATGTCTGTCAAACACCTTTGCTATCATGCCTCATGTGTTGGTCCTATTCAGTCCCAATTACTATTTATAGAAAGTGTCTAGATTTGCTAATTTATTTTGGTATATCTATAAAATGTAAAGATTGTATTGAACACAATGGTGTTAGTCTCATGTCCAAATTCGCAATCTAACACAATTCTACATTTAATAACTTTTGTGCTTATTCCAAAGACTAACTCTTGGTATTAAAGGTGACAAGGGGTGAAAGTCCAAAATGTGTGGTCCTCAAGGGGGGGAGGGGTGGTTGGGGGTTCCAAATGTAAAGTAAAGATAGTGAATAGGTTAAGCATGGCTGATTAATCTGAGGTATAGTTTAGCTCTCACTTATGTGTCTATCCTTGTTCTACATCCGACTTGGGTCTAAGCCTAAGCTCCATATCGATGGAGTACCCATATCCTCAAATTAGGCTACCAATATGCTAAAATAGCACCAAACTTCATTTAGCTCCGTTTTACATGCTAATTATAACATTAGGATGCTAGATACTTTAATATTGTTCTAAGTCACTCCATGCTTTGGTTCCTTCGCTCTTTGGCTCCATGCTTAGGAGTTTAGCTCTATTCCTTCATTCAATGGCTCAAGGCCTTGAAACTCAGGTTTTGTTTCATTGTCATTTGACATATGGCATGTGGCATATGACACGTGGCACATTGAGGGTTTAGGTTCTACTTCGTGGTTATCCTATGGTAAATCATCATAGGATAAAGAGTGAAAACCACATGTGCTACAACATAGTCAACCTGGTATGAGAAATTTATATGTTGGCTTACACTTGATAGTATTAGGAACCCTTGCAATATTGAGCTTGGTTCCTTAATATTTGCTAAATGATAGCTTATTATGTCTATTAAGATACACTCACTATCATGCCTTATATGTTGTCCTATCCAATCTCAATGGTTATTTATGGAAGTGTTTATATTTGCTAATTAAGCATATTTATGTCCCAAAAATTAACTCCTGAGTATCCAGCATCCCAATGCCAAAACCATCACACAAAATGGAGCTAAATGGGTTCCACTCCATTGCCTTTGGACATATGGCATTTAGCATGTGGGGGTTTAAGTTCCACTCTGTGATTATCCTATAGTAAAGCACCATATGGTGAAGGACATGTGCTACATTTGGTATAAGAGAATGAGTCTTAATGAGTATTATCCAATGAGATTGGGCAATTAATTTTGTTACATATATAGAGATGAAATTAATGATTTGAGTGGGTACACGTTTGGGTGTTATGACTTTGCAGCTGTTCTTTAGGTATGGATTTTAGTTACCTCTTTATACCATATTATGTGAGCAACTCAAATTAATAAGTCCAAGCAAAAGCTCATACAATATGGTATAAAATAGTACATACTAAAATCTGTACTTAGGGACATATGCAAAGCTATAACAACTAAATATATACTCACTTGGATCATTATTTTTATCTCTGAATTTGCAATAAGATTAATTGCCCAATCTCATTATACAATACTCACTTAAATATAGTTTCTAATACCAAATATAGCATGTGGTTTTCCTATGGTAAATTACTTTAGGATAACCATCAAATGGAATCTAACTCATGGATACATGTGTCAAGGATAATCAAGTAAGACTTAAATGTTAGGGACTTGGTCTACTAAATGAAGAGATGAAGCTAAACTCCCAAACGTATATCCAAAGGAAGTAGAAATATGAGCACAAAGAAATACTAAAATAGTCATAAAGCTTTTAGCATCCTAGTGCCAAAACTAATATATAAAATAAAGCCAGTTTAGTGATATTTCAACATATTAATGATTTAACATGAGGATATTATCACCTAGTATGATTTTAAACTTGAACTTAGATCCAAACCAAATGCAAAACATGGATAAACATGCCTAGCGAGAAGCTAAACAATGTCTCAGGTAAGTCAACTATACATAATCTAGGAATTAACAATCTCAAAAACTTACTAATATATAATGGTGTTATATTGCAAATCTGGACATAGGAATAATACTATTGTATTCAAGACAATCTTTTCATCCCATAAATATACCTAACTGACAGACCTAAATACTTTTCATAAATAACTAATGGGACTGAAATAGAACCAATATATAAGCATGGTAGTAAAGGTGTTGGCCAAACATAATAAGCTATTATATAGTGATATTAATGGACTAATGTTCAATATGCAAGTGTTTTTGTTATTAGCTAGTGCAAAACAATAAAACAAAAACTCCTTCTAAGGCTAGGTATGCTTAATTAAGCTGGTTGCAAATTTTCATTAATGATATATATCTAAGCTTGGTATTGCACACTTTCAGTTGTTGCTCAGTTCTCAGCATTAGAGGGGGGGATGATATGATATATTTGCTATCTCTTGAGAAATATATTCACCATTATTGGCCAAAGTGCAAGTCAAACCTCAAAACTTTGCTCATAGGATTTGCACTCAATACCAACTATACACATATATGGGTATATAGAATTAGTATATACCCATAACTAAATTAAATTTATGGATTAGCTTTGGGTCAAACTAGATTAGTTTTTATAGCCTAATAAAAATGGGGTTTTTAAGATCTTTTCCTCTATTGTTTTAGTAATTTATTAGTAGTTTTGTCATCTTCCCTTCTTGATGACAAGCTCTTGACATCTCCAAGGAATATGTATGAGCTGTTTGTCAGTTTGGAAGGCCTAAGCACATTTGGAGCAAAATCTACATCAATACAATGATTACACTAGTAATTTTTTATTAAATAAAATATTTTATAGTAATATAGCTTTGATATTATTAATGTATCATCTAAATCAATTTTCCCTCTTTAAAAATTTTGGATTTAGAAAATAATCAATAGCAACCACTATCACTTAAAAGTTACAAACACTCAAGATTGATTCTGGAAAAATATTTAATAGTGTAGACAGTTCATCTCTTGGTAATATGTGTATAGTTATAAAAATAGATTGATCTTGGAAAAAAACTTCTCCACCATAGCCACGAGATATGCAATTTCTAATAATAAAATTAAAAGCTTCAACAATATCATTTTCAGTAACATTCCTATTTTGATCATGAGCTCTCCATGTTTCTACTTTCATATAAATTCTATAACCTCTTCCTAGTATTACATAAGTAGTATGATAAGGTGATCCTGCCCATCGTAAGGTTAATTGACGTATAGACTGACATACAAAACCCATAGAAACTTCTCTATGTGGCTCCCTATCATAACATCTTTCTAGAGCTGGACTTGAATAACCAAGGCATTGCAGAACACTCAAACTACATAAGATTATAATACTAATTAAGAGTTTCATTTAGAAATAACCCTTAAAGAAAATATTTAATATTTATAGAAATGCCAATGACATTGGACATGTCTTCTATAATATCCAAATGGCACACAAATGAATTAATAGTATAATGAATAGTTGGATATTTAAAATTGAGCATAAAATTTGGGCTCTGTTCATAAGGGGAGGGTTCTTGTGAAGAGCCACATAAGCACTAGCCCCCATAACATTGACAAGAATTCACATCAATCAATGCATCTAACACTTCTCCAAAACAAAGGAAAGAAAGAAGAGCATACTACATTCACCACTTTACCTCTTTTTTTTCCTCTGAGGGAAGAAGTGTGTATTTTTAGTATATTTAATTGATCAATCCAATTTTATTCTCACATTATATATTTCTCTAAATTATATTTAACTAGATCCTGGTTAAAATGAAGGTATTAATTATTTGAATGATTCTTTAGAAAAACTTGTGACTTGTGATTTAAATATTTATTTTGATAAGTATGATAGAGATGTAAATGTTTTTATATATAAGAAATCCTTATTCCTTGAAATTGGAACAGATCAAAATCCTAAGTTGTTGATTTTAGAATAAATTATAAGCTTTATTAATTAGTTGTTTTTCCAAACACTGCAGAATATAAAACTAAAGGTGATCATGATTAGAATTTTGGTCATTTGCAGATTGTTATAAACATGAAGATTCTTTTACTGCTGAATTTGTTGAAAATAAATTTAACTGTAAATAAGAAAATTATAATTTTATATTTTACAAAATATTTTAAATAATTATCTCTTTTAGTTAATTAAAACAATTTTATTTATTAAAATAATATTTGTATTCTATAGCCAATGGGCTTATGATCAATTCTACAGTATATTTTATTAATAACTATAAATTAAATATATAAACCAATATGTATATTTGAAAGAGAGCATTAGTGTATTTAATAATTGAAATTAGCATATATTAATTGATATACTCTTAAGTAAAGTATATTCATGGCTGAAATATAAACTCAGATTTGTGAGAATGGAATTTATGAGAATATCTGGTATAATACCTATTATGTACATAAAGTTTTTGACTTTGTTTAGCACACCCCCTTGCTGTACCTTTGATAAAATAATGGCACAACAACATATTTGAGTTAAAAGAAAATCTTGATTTATTTATTTACTTATTATTATAACATCGTTAAATGTGTTTAATGTATTGCTCCATAAACATTTTGTATCTCAGAAAAAAAGAAAGACTAATCACCCAATAACACACGACTCGTACGTCGGCACCATGTACTTGATGTTGATGAAGGCATCCTCTCCGCCGTGTTGCTCAAACATCTCGAGAGTTTTCTGTACAAGCTCTCCCGTGCAAGCCTTTTTTTGCTGCGCGTAATCGATGTTGTGGCCAATGTTTGGGATGTCGTTCTTAAAAATGTTGAGGATCGGGAGGAGCTGCCGATAGTAAGGAACCAGAGATTGCCCCACGTCTTTCTCAGACTGGACGAGCTTCATCATAAGCTGCAAGAGACCCTCCCACCTTGCGGGAATAAGAACCAAAACAATAATTCCGAAGGACAGACTCACAGTTACCTGCAAAGTGATGTTCATCACGGATGGATCCCGAGTGTTGAGAGCGGTCTTGATGGGAATAATCAACTGCGGAATTACAGGGAAGATTTTCCCTTCTCCTGCCTGGACGAACTGCCTTTAGCTAAAACGCTCCACAGGAAAATGGTACGAGACATTTACCTTCAGCAGATCTTCACAACCCTTGACAGCAATGAATCTGTATGGATCCTCCTTTTCCCGAATACCATCGAAGAAGATTGGCAGATAGTGGTGGTAGTCCATCTTGTTTATGTCGAGCTTCCAAGTGATGGTGTTCTTGGCGCTCCCGTGATCTACTTTGAGCGGCAAGTCACCTCTTTCGTAGAGCTTCCTGAACTGGAAACCACAACAAAATGTCAGTAAGCATCTAAGTGGCAAGCAAGCGAAAAAGGAGAAAAAAGAATATGAAAGAAAGTTCATTTACAGTTGATCTTTAAGAAAATCCCCGTGGGCCTTGGGCACTTCTTCTTACAAGAGTGTTGGGGGGATTGTCGCGAGCTTTGTATGCTCCAGCCACTGGAGGCTCGGCCTTCGGTGGAGCCTTACGCAGCTCTCCCCGCTTGATTCTTTCACCGTCTCCCTTGCGTGTAAAGTCGCTGGGATATTTTTTCGGCATCTTATGTCTGTAACACAAAGATTGTCAGCTGAAAGCCAAGAAAAAAACTCTAGGAAAAGCTCAAGAAAAAAGAAAAAAGAGAAGGATCTAAGCTCACTCACCTATACTCATTGTTGGAAGACCAATACGGCAAATCCTTCCCGGTGAGCCGACACAAATTGTGACGTCCGGCCTTCCTTTGTATCTGCCAACAAAGAAAAAAAAAAAAAAAAAGTACTTGTGAGAGTCGTCCAGAGCTGGGCAAACGTTCAAATCCCACGAGGAAAAAACTAAGACTTGCGGCTAACGGGATTCGACCCCGCGATCGCCGAATCCCCAGAAACCCTGGCGATGGCGCCGATCCGCGAGAAACCAGGAAATGGTGTCTCCACAAGCGGCGCGCGCGCCCTGAGAGAGAGATCGAGGCGAGGAGAGATCGCTTACCGAGACTGGGAGCGTCTGATCGAAGCAGGAGAGCGATTGCTTGGTCTTCTTCATCGTCGGCTTCCCCTTGAGATGCTTGTTGCAATACTCATCCGAGAGCAAATGCCCGGCGATATCGCCGATCTTGTCCGTGCCGCCCCCCATTCTTGTGGAAGGCGCGCCTCAGCTGCTCGCCTCCACCCTCGCCTTTGCCCTGGGCGCGCTCTCTCTTTTCTCTCTGGGGATGAAGCTCTCGAATGGTCACGCTGACGTGGCGGATTGCCGGCATCGCCTGTCACGTCGGCAGGGTATGCCCCATCAGCCCTACACGTGGCAGCCCCTATCGCGGCGTGACGTGGCGGGATTATGGCCGGACACTCTCCTCACGAGGGCAAAGGCGACACGCGATCGATCGGTCAATCTGGGGCGCTGATGCCAGCGCCGCGAGCTCCATCCAAATCTCTCCTTCAAGCTCGCCATGGATGATTAGGGCAATGCGATGGCGCTAGCGCTTTCCGCGAGCTCGGCGGCATCGGTTCTACATCCTCGCGAGCTATCCGGCCACCGCTCAAGCTTCTGGATCGCTGTGAGGTACACTAGAATTGCGAGCAGATTGGTCGCTCGGTGCAGCCGCGATGAATCGTGCCAGGGTGATGGAGGGGGATTCCAGTTCCAGCCGACAAGGAGGATTCTACTGGGGGCCTCGCTTCTCTTGCCGCTGACCTTGCAAAACCAGGGAGCTGGAGCTGTGGAGAATGCTCCGGCTGGAACCAGCGGGAAGGAGAAGAGGAAGCTCTGGTCTCTGGGGGAGGAAGACAAAGCTGCCGAGTCTCGAGTTTACGACTCCTTGGTGCTGGGAGAGCCTGTAGCGATTGCGAGCAACCGCGATCGAGTATGGCAGAAGCTCCTGGCTTCTCGGGTGGTGTACCTTGGCGAGGCGGAGCGTGTGCCGGATCCCGACGATAAGGTCCGACACTTTGATACTTTAGTTCTTCGTTTTTCTCTTGGAGAATGATCTGAGAATGGACTTGCGTCTAGTTCGCAGGTGCTGGAGCTGGAAGTCGTGAGAGCTTTGCGAGACAGATGTTTCGAGCAGCAGAGACCTGTTACTCTAGCGATCGAAGCGTTTCCATGCCTTCTTCAAGGATCGCTCAATCAGTTCATGAACAAAAGGTGACTATAGCGAAATAAAGTCGTGAATGAGTAACTGATAGTTTCTTCGCAGCTCCGACAGTGCTGATCTCAAGGCTCAAGTACTCGACTGGCCCGAGGGACGCTGGGAGCAATACCAGCCACTCTTGGAGTACTGCCGAGACAATGGAGTGAGACTCATGGCATGCGGTGCTCCACCGGAAGTTCTTCGCACTGTTCAAACCAAAGGCATACAGGGACTGAGCGTTGGCGACCGCAAGCGATACAGTCCGCCGATCAAACGCGGTTCGGCACTCTCGTACGAGATTTTTCAGCAGTCTTTGCAGCCGGATGTTCTCGCAAATGCATCGGTTCCTTTCGGCCCAGGACCTTACCGGTTTGCTCAAGCTCGGATTGTCCAGGATCACACAATGGCTCAAGTTGTTCGTCAGGCACTCGTGGACTCGGGCACGGTTGGTCTAGTGGTTGTCATAACCGGCGCTTCGCACGTCCAGTATGGAGCTAAGGGATCGGGCTTGCCGTCAAGGATTGCACCAATCCTGCCGAAGAAGACACAGGCTGTGATCTTGCTGAATCCCGAGAGGCAGCACATTCGCAAAGAAGGAGAGCTGCCACAGGCCGACTTTTTGTGGTACTCAGCGGCAAAAGTTTGTGTCAGGAACTGCTTTGATCGTGCTGAAGTTGCTCGCGTGATGAGTGCCGCCGGCAGGAGGCGCGAAGCATTGCCGCAGGTTGGTTTCGCTTAGTCCTTGAAACTTCATTCCTGGACTGATGGATTTCTTTCTTTTTTGTAGGATTTACAAGCAGGACTAGAGAGAGGAGTGATATCACCAGAGCTTCTCCAGAGTTTTCTCGATCTGGACAAGCACCCGGTTCTAGCAGAACTCACAAAGAGGTTCCAGGTGCATTTTGTTTTCATCTTTTCCAGGAACCACTAACTCACGCATGACTTTTGGCAGGGTTTGAGGGAAAGATTGCTTGCCGATCCACGATTTCTTCACAGGCTAGCGATCGAGGAATCCATCTCGATCACCACCACACTCATAGCACAGTACGAGCGCAGGAAAGACAGGTTTTGGAAAGAGCTGGACTACGTTATCACCGACACGGTGAGGGGATCGGTCGTCGACTTCTTCACGGTCTGGCTCCCAGCTCCGAGGCTGGCGTTTCGAGTTTTCAACGATGAATCGGCCGTCGGTGGCCTAGAGGGATTTCTAGGATCAATCCCAGACAACGCATTCCAGAGAGCTCACACTGGCACGAACTGGGATCCGAGTACACGTTTTCTCGCGGTTGTACTTGGAGGAGTGAAGCTCTTCTCGGTAGGATTCATCTCCAGCGTAGGAACTTTGTCACTCACGAACGCGTACCTGGATCTTCGGCGGAAACTCAATCCAGAGCTGGCTCCCAGAGTGACAAACAAGAGATCTCCGATCTTCAAGACCGCTGCGGTCTATGCTACGTTCCTCGGCCTCTCGGCAAACTTGAGATACCAGGTAAGTTGATCAAGTGTCTTTCTTTTTCATTCGTTCTAAGATGTGGATCTTTTGGTTCTTAGATCGTCGCTGGAGTAGTAGAGCACTGGATTGCAGATTATTTTCTGGCGTCGACGCCTCTCGCTGGAAACATACTCTCATTCCTCGCACGAACAGCCAACTCGTACTGGGGAACGCAGGTAAGATTGGATCGATATTTTCTGTTTTGCATTCTTAAGCAAACTTTTGATGCAGCAATGGGTGGATCTCGCGAGGATTTTTGGTTTGCAGGCACACAAAGCGGAAGGAAACACCCCGGAATGCAGCGAGCCATCCCAAAATCTGGATGCGATCCCGGTAGAGACGAAGGACGGCATAGGGGGAGAAATACTTCCAAACTCAAAAAATTAGGTCAAAGTTAATGTTGAGCGACAAAACAGTATACCAAACTCAAAGAACCTTGACTGATTCTCACGGACTAAACACCAAAACAATGCATTTACGATATTCTTGTAAGCTGATAAATATTAATCCAAAGAACAAGAATGAGGAAGTTTATAAGCTTAGACAAAATGCATCAAGCTCGAGGACACAGCATTGACGCTGGGGCGCTCCATCGATTCGTGTGTGAACCAAAGACGCGCACCGATTTCCCATTGTTCAATCCCCTGCCTTGCACACGCATGGGTGTCGGGCGGAGGAGGAAGAATCATCCATACTTTCTTAGTGCTACTGGGATTCAACACCATGATCAATAACTCTGCCCCAAGCAACACGGTGGCGACAAGTATCTCCTGTGCCGAGTGATCATCATAGAACTTGCACTGGAGATGAGCTCTCCATGCTATGCTCGCCTTGCACATTTGAGAGCGGAGACACGGGCTGAGCGCTATGGTCGAGCTTGCCCTAAGTACAAGCTTTGCCATATATAATTAAAAGAGTAAAGGCTTTTTATTCCAATTTAGATTCTATTTTTTGGGTTTAGGAGGTTTTCTTTATTACAGGCCCAACAAACACATTAGAGCTATTGTTGCTCACATTGGAAAGGCTCTCAGAGAGATTCAACAGGTGAGAGGTGATGTTTTCCTTTGATGTATGCCTTTCATTGCTCAAACTCAACAGTGTTTTGCAGTGAAACCAGGAATTGATGTGTTCTTGATATGCAATCTTGTCCAGTACAGTATTTTGTTGTATGTGACTGCAGCAATTCACAACTTCATTGTTCTTTACTAAGTCTAAAAGAGCATTGAGTTTGAGCAAGCTGGCTTCCCAAAACGTTTATCATTGTCATGTCCTTGCATTTGTGATTATAGAGGTTATGTAGGTTGTCAAACAGTTGCTCTATTACTGAGATCACCTCAGTGAATTTTTGCCTATTGTAAGTTTATTTAATCTGATTGCTACAAAACTTAGAAGCTTAATAGCAGAAAAAAAGTGTCACAATTATGCAAGGACAGAACACTGTTTGGAAGGTAATATCACTGCTATTGTTGCGGGATTGTTACAGTTTCTTTCTATGCAGCTCCTATCCAAGATTTAAGGGAGCAACTTTCTTCTTTAATATTGCACAGTGAATACCCCTCCCTTATTGATATGACCATAGTGTTTGCCTCCATGAATGTTTGACCAAAGTTTACTGGTTAGTGGATCTACATTTTTTTTTTTATAGTTGTTAACTATGTCATTTGTTTTCTCCAACTGTTGTCAAGAGTGTCGAGATGTTATGATTTGCAGGGGGGTGGTTTAACATTTGCTACAATGTTCTGGGCACTCAACACATCCAAATTCGACCACACTGCTGCTGTTGTCTCTCATTGTTAGAATGTCTATCTCTTTATCAAAGTATTTTTATCCCAATCGACTATTTAATCCAGTCTAGCAATTTCTTGCTATTAGCACAGGAATATGCCTATATGACTCATGTGCATGGATAAATTCTTGCCACATTCTTGGTCATTCATGTATGCTAAAGGCAAGTATATTAACTTTGAGCTCTTGTGTGTTTAAAAACTTTATTTCCATTGTGTTGATAGATTGTCTTTCTCATTTGTGGATCCTTTTAGTTCTTAGATCGTCGCTGGAGTATTTGAAGAAAACACGGAATGTGGATGTGACATTATACACTTGGGTCAAACTTTGAAAGCTAGGGCATTGACGAACGCTTGCAAATTGCCGTGCGAGCTTCCACCGGTGGCCACGGCCTTCCTCGCCTCGATCTTGACCGCGCCCACATTCGCCCGGATCTCCTTTCCAATCTCTCCGTGCATGAGCTCGTCCACAGCTCTGGCAATCTCCTCTCGCCCCAGGATCCCGTCCCTGGAGTGATCCTTGACGCGCAGCATCAGCTTCCTCTTGGCCAGGAACGAGCAATTGAGGTTCTGCTCCGACAGGCACGGCCACCCGATCATCGCCACGCCCGCGCACATCCCCTCGAGCGCCGAGTTCCATCCGCAGTGCGTGATGAATCCGCCCACCGCGACGTGGCGGAGGACGCGCATCTGGGGCGCCCACGACACGACGCAAGCGCCATCGCCACTGCGCTCCAGGAACGCATCGAAGATCTCGCGCGGGAACTCGCCATCCACGAGATTGGGCCGTATCGACCAGAGCACGCCCACATTCTTCTCGGCGCAGCAGTGATCCAGCGCGTGGAGGAGCTCCTGGAACTGATCGCTGGGCATGACCGCGATGCTCCCAAACGCGACGTAGAGCACCGAGGAGTTGGGCCGCGAATCCAGCCATTCCAGGCAGCGGAGATCCTCGCTAGAGAGCGCGGCGCGGAGGTCTTCCTGGCCGCCATCGCCAGAGCCATGCATGTGCTCGTCGGGGAGAAAGGGGCCGATTGGGAGGTAGTTCTTGACGCCGTAGTGGTGGTGGAAGATCGAGACGATGTCCGGCTCCAGCGCCTGGAACGTCCCCGAGAGGATCCAATCGGCCTGGAAGAGACGCTCGTAGGGCGGCTCGAAGAAGGGGATGATCGGGTGCTCCTCGTACCAGGCCAGGGGAAGATCAAATGGCGAGAACGATGGGATTCCAGGGAAGAAATCGATCTTCTTGTCTCCAGTTGTGCGATCTAGGAGAGATCCAAGTTAACATCACGAGAAAGATCTTCGAGAACTCACTCTTGACCGGGACGAATCCCTCGGATCGAAGCCTCCTCATGTGGAGCGTGACGAGATCAAAGGTCGCAGAGGTCGTGGAGAATGCCACTCTCACGAGCTTGAATCTGGTGGCAATGTCCTGGATCCAGTGGAGGAAAAGGTCGGAGATGATCGCCTTGATTGGAATCCCTCGCTCATGGATCATCGATTCCAGCAGCTCCTCCACGCCGCGCTGCAATCCGTCGCTGGATTTGATCACCTCCTTCAGTCCCTCCATCCCGGGGGGAGGATGATCGTTGGCACCGCGCTCCGGCATCCCGTCCGAGACTCCTACGAAATCGATGCCCTCGCGGGTGATGGGCTCCCGCGACTTGAACATCCGCTCGTGATTCTCGAAGGTGTTGATGAATGTGATCTGGAAGGAGCCCAGCGCGGCGAGCTTGGAGCAGAGATGGAGGAGCGGATTTACGTGACCTGGGATCACCCATGGAACCGCGACCAAATGGACTAGTTCTTGCGGAGGAGACGATGATCCCATTGCTTGTGCAGGCACAATGAAAATCTTGTGGTGCGCGGAGCTCTTATCCCGATGTTAAAGGTGAATGCTACAAGACACACAACATGCTAGAAACGCGAAAACGTCAAAATAACCAACATCTGTACTGAAAAAGGTGGTGGGAGTATGTTCTAGTATATGCTCTCATCTAACGGCTCACATCGTTCTAGATTGAGTTTATGATTTGGGTAAATTAAGTTTAAACATCTTTTTAACATTTTGGGGCGGTTAGTATATGAACCCCTCACATTATTCTAGATTGATTTAGTATATTCTTGTTATTTCTCTAGAAATTCTGCAGTATGTATGTCTTGGTTTCACGTCTTGTAGTGCCCATAAAATTGAATTGATAAGTTGATAAGTTGTTAAGTTATAATCATTGGGAAATATAAAACATTGACTAGAATAAAACATGAAACTAAGCTAGTATTAGCATATTCTAGGTATATTCATTTCTTCCAAGGGCAAAAGGTTGATATTTTCATCTCTGTTTTTAGGGTTCTTAGATAGCACGCAATGCTATGGCGTCTTCCTAGCCACTCGTGAGGTAATCCACTCCGGGAGGGCAACGCATTCACGCCAGGCTTTGCTATGGCGGCATCGGCAGCGTCGGCGGCGGTGCTCGCGTCTCCATTCCTCCAAGGGACTCCCCGCCATGCCAACGATCTCCAGGTTTGCCATTCCCAGCAATCCAGGAGCCATGTCCATAGCCCTAGCTCTAGAATCCAGGCGCTGGCGCTGGCCACGCACAGCGGCGGCGATCCGGCAGCTCCAAGTCCCGTGAAGAAATTGATTCTCAAAGGCATTGCTGGCGCGGCAGCGATTCTCGTCGCGGCGTCGCCGGCATTGGCCGCTGGCGAGGATTTGATGCTCGAGCAGGGCCAGCAGCAAGCAACGTCGTCTCGGATGTCCTACACGCGATTCCTCGAGTACCTGGACAAGGATAAGATACGAAAGGTGGATCTCTACGACAATGGCATGGTGGCGATCGTCGAGGCAGTGGCTCCAGAGCTTGGAAACCGGGTACAAAGAGTGAGAGTCCAGCTTCCAGGGCTTCCCGAGGAGCTCATCCGGAAGATCAAGGCGAAGAACGTCGACTTTGCTGCTCACATCCCGCAAGAGGATCCTGGCAACGTGGTGCTCAATATTATCAGCAACTTAGCGTTCCCGGTGCTGCTCCTCGGTGGTCTCTACTTCTTGTCGAGGAGAACTATCGGGGGACCTGGGAATCCAAACAATCCTTTCAACTTTGGAAAGTCCAAGGCCAAGTTTCAGATGGAGCCGAACACTGGGGTGACTTTCAACGACGTTGCCGGTGTCGACGAAGCCAAGCAGGACTTTATGGAGGTGGTGGAGTTTCTCAAGAGACCAGAGAGGTTTACTGCCGTTGGTGCTAAGATTCCGAAGGGAGTTTTGCTGGTCGGGCCGCCTGGTACTGGGAAAACGTTGCTTGCTAAAGCTATTGCTGGAGAGGCCGGTGTTCCGTTCTTCTCGATCTCGGGGTCGGAGTTTGTGGAGGTTTTCGTCGGGATTGGTGCGTCCAGGGTCCGTGACTTGTTTAAGAAAGCCAAGGAAAATGCTCCTTGCATTGTTTTCGTTGACGAGATTGATGCGGTTGGCCGGCAGCGAGGCACCGGAATCGGAGGTGGAAACGACGAAAGGGAACAAACTTTGAACCAGCTGCTCACTGAAATGGATGGATTCGAGGGCAACACAGGAGTAATAGTCGTTGCTGCTACAAACAGAGCTGACATCCTTGATGCCGCATTGCTGAGGCCAGGAAGATTTGATCGACAGGTAACTCGAGTGTTGGCATTCTGCCTTACCTTCTTCTCTTTTGTTATTTCAGGTGTCTGTCGACGTCCCCGACGTGAAAGGAAGGACAGAAATTCTCAGAGTTCATGCTGGGAATAAGAAGTTTGACGGTGATGTGTCTTTGGACGTGATTGCGATGAGAACACCGGGTTTCAGCGGTGCGGATCTTGCTAATCTTCTGAACGAGGCAGCTATTCTAGCAGGGCGGAGAGGCAAGACAGCAATCTCAGCCAAGGAGATAGATGACTCTATCGACAGAATCGTCGCGGGAATGGAAGGAACTACGATGACCGACGGCAAAACTAAGAGCCTTGTTGCTTATCACGAAGTTGGACATGCTGTGTGCGGGTAAGATTGCTCACTTTTGTTCGTTTCTTTGGCATCAAATACTGACGCAGGCTTTTCCTGTTTAACAAGGACTCTGACGCCAGGACATGACCCGGTACAGAAAGTTACGTTGATACCACGAGGCCAGGCTCGGGGCCTTACATGGTTTCTTCCGGGAGAGGACCCCACTTTGATCTCCAAGCAGCAGATTTTTGCGAGAATCGTTGGTGCTCTCGGAGGCAGAGCCGCAGAAGAGATCGTGTTTGGCAGTCCGGAAGTCACAACTGGTGCTGCGAGCGATTTGCAACAGGTTGCTTCGATGGCCAAACAAGTAAGCTGTTTCATTGGCATTGCTTTCCAAGTTCCAACTCTCGGAACTTTTGACTGCTTTACGCAGATGGTCACGGTGTTTGGAATGTCAGAAATTGGGCCATGGGCTCTGATAGATCCTGCTGTTCAAGGTGGTGACGTGATCTTACGTATGATGGCCCGGAACTCCATGTCCGAGAAGCTAGCCGAGGACATAGATCGGTCCATAAAGGCCATCTCGGACAAGGCGTACGAGATTGCTCTCGGCCATATTCGTAACAATCGCGCTGCTATAGACAAGATCGTGGAGGTTCTGGTTGAGAAAGAAACCATGACAGGCGACGAATTCAGAGCCATCCTATCCGAGTTCACAGAGATCCCCGCCGAGAACAAGGCCGCTTTGTCTACACCGACTCCGGTTGGAGTATGAAGCACGCACAACACCACCATTGTCCAAGTAAGTCGTGCACTTTTAAACGCGTATATAATATTCTTTGGTGTGGGAGACATGTACAGAGATGTGGGATTTCTTTCCTTCCCACTTGGAAGCCATATATCTTTAAAGTTATTTCTCTCGGACCTCTTGGTATCAAACAAAATTGGAGACGCTCAAGCTCTCTCGCTTTTCAAACGAACTCTCGGTTACCAGCGCGAACGTGAACCAAACATAGACTGCGCACAAACAAAAAACGAGCCGTCAGCTTTCAACTTAGAGAACGAACCGAAGAAACCAGACGAAAGAAACAAAAGAAAATTCGTTGAGTATGGAGAAGATCGTACCTTAAGAGCGCCTTTGTTCTTCCGGCTGGACTCGGCATCGGCTTGGATGATCCGCAGCAAGAGTTGAGATGGATCTCGTCTGGCACAACGAGGTGAAGGACTGCACGGCTCGGAGGAGAGCTCGTCTGAGTCCCGGTAGAAGCCGCCATCGTCGTCCTCCTCGATGCTACAGAACCGCGACGCTGGCCTCGACGAGAAACGGGACAGAGCAGGACTCGTCGGCGATGGCGAAGCAACCACGAGTTCATCATCCTCTTCCTCGTCAACTTCCGGACCATCTTCGGCCTTCTCCGGCTCGACTTCTTCCTCGACACAGGCGAACCTCACCTTCTTCAAGCACTTCTTGGAGTTCTTCCCCGACTTGAGAGCGCTGGGGAGCGGTGGCACTGGCACTGCCGAGCGAGCGAGCTGCTTGACGCCGAGCAGCGAGGGAGAGTCGCACGACTCGACGCGGAACCTGTCCGAGTGGTAGTAGAAGTTTTTGGCGAAGAACTCGCGGCTGGCGGCGGCAGCGAAGTCGAAGCCACCGCCGTACTCGTCGTCGTCCGAGGCGTAACCGAAGAGCTTGACTTCGTCGCAGGAATCAAAGCTCGTCTGGAACTCGTGGTCGTGGCGGGGGACGTGCAAGATTTGATGGTGGTGGTCGTGGTGGGAGGAGGAGTCACTGCTGGAGAAGCTGCCGAGCGAGTTGTCCGTGCTGCTACCGGGGCTCTCCAGGTCGCTGGGAGAAGAGGACGAGCTTGTCACGGGCGAGGCAATGCTCTTGCTACTACTCGCAGTGCTAGAACCAGAGCTCTGGATTGGAAACTCGCTACTACTCGCAGTGCTAGAGCCACCGGAGCTCTGGAGTGGAAACTCGTCACGGAAAAAGCCAGGGATAGGACTTCTCGGGAACTCGGAGCTGGATCCTCCACCGCCATACCAGAGCTCGAGGAGCATGCTGGACATGTTCTTGAAAGGCATCGATCCCGCCGGCGCTGGTGGTGGTGGATGCTTCGGCTGATGATGAAGATCGAGAAGCTCTCCCTCGAAGACTATATCGTTGCTGGAGCAACACCTCGAAACGCAGCACCGGCGGTCCACCAGTTCTTCCTCGACGCGACGATCCAACTCTTGGACTACCTTTCCGGATTCACACTCCCACAGGCTCGAGCGCTGCTGCTGCTGCTGCTCCGAGAAGATCTTCCTGGGCGATGCCAGCTTCCCCTGGAGCAAGCTTTTCATCTTGCGGGACAGGGAAATGGATCTGGGAGAGCGAGGAGAGCTGAGCGCCGGCCCAGCTTTTCTACCAGTGCTGCTGCTTATCACCATCAATCGCGGGGGTGGAGCAAGAGAGGAGGAGGAGGAGGAGGAGGAGGAAGATGGCGATGGCGATGGCGACGGGGAGGCTTTCCCAGGATGATCACTCTGTTGGAGATCCTTTTCGACCACCGTCGCCCGGTCAGCAGTTGGTGGTGGTGGGCTCTTCTTCGCCAACAGCTCCTCCTCGTCTCTCCTCCAGCGCTGCTGGTGTTCTTGGCGATCGAGCTTTTGTTTGGGAACACCTGGCTCGAGCTCCCATTTGAAAGGGACGGCGATCACAGGGCTCTCAAATCCGCCGCTGTTGGGAGGCGCAGTCGCCCACCTTGATTTCTCGTCGTTTGGGGGGTCCTCTTCCACGAACAGAGGGTGTTGGAGTGGAAGCTTTCCCGGTGGGTAGACCCTCCTATTCGATCGACTCATGTCTTTCTTTTCTTGCCTCCAATTCAAATCCTCTCTATGAATCTTTCCTCGTTTGGTAATCGATCGATGGATCGGCTAAGCTAATCCCACCACCGCCAATCTCTTGTCCCTGCATTCTTCGATCTTCATCTCTATGGATTCGTCGCAGTCTAGCATCCTCCCCACCAGTTTGACTTTTTGGAAAACTCTCAACATCACTACTGTGAGAAAGAAAAAAGGCGGAGGATCGATCACAGCAGTGGCACCACCCTCCAACAAACAGCGGAAAAAAAGCCAAGCGAGAAAAGGTTCTTGAAAATGTGAGCCACGCAAGAACCCTAAAAGTTGGAGAGATTATATTATATCCCACCCCGCCACCCCGGCCAACGTCATCCTACGTGATCGCTAAATTTGCCAGGCGGGGCCCCCCAAAAAATGCAACCTTGGAATACAAATGTTTGACAACATGGTTGTCTATTTTTTCTTTCCATTGTTTCAAAGTGCTTTCTTTTTTTCTTTTTTTTTTCCCTGCTCTTGCTCTCACGACGTCCGTCCACACTCCTGCTTGATTCGTTCGTTAAATTTGTTGCTCGCTCGTTTGTTTTGTTCCCTTTCGGTTCTTGGAAACTTTCGAGCCCATTTTTTGACAATCTCGGCACGCGAACATGGGCAAGTCACATGGAAGTTTGGAAATATCACGCCAGTGGACTAAAGAAAGATCCTTATTTGCCACCTTTTGTCAAAGTTCCAAGCCCTAGATCGGACGGCTCGCATGGCACCCGCGTTTTGCGTCATGCTTTGCTATCTCCTCCACTTTCTGTAATGGGTCGGTTTGAGGTCGATTGATACCATCATGGGCTTCTAGAAAAATTTAAGCAAAAAAGAGAATTCAATAGTCAATCGAACTCTAGCTTGAACAGCGACTGCTGCTTACCTTTAAGATGCATTGAATTCTCCAAATCTCCAACCAAGGGAGTGTTCGTTCTTCTTCTCTTTCTTTTTAGCACGCAGCAGTCATGATGCGCACATTGGTTGGGTCTTTTTCTTGATCATAACCCACTAATCTTTGGTTGGGCCCCTGGGAGCGAATGTCTGATCACGATCCTGCGAGAAACCACGCCGCAAAGTCCGTGAGCACTCAGTGGCTTCGAGCAGCCGGGAAAGAGAAGGAAAGTAAAGGAAAGAAACAAGCAAAGTACCTGATACACCACCATTTCACTCGACTAGAAAGTGCCTGTAGAGCTCCTCTGGACGGCATTTTTGCCCCGGCTTGAGCGAAAGCTTCAGCACTCCACTGGCAGATGGAGCCGAGACTGTAGATGGGTGGAGGATGTGAGCCAGAAGCTCCATTCCCTCCACCACCCTCAAACCGGGTTGGCTGAAGTATGATCCGTCGCAAATGTAGACTTGTCGACACTCCACCGCCGGCACGGACCAAAACCCCGGCTGTCTGGCAAGCTTGTGCACCTGGAAGCACGAAAATCAGCAGACAAAGATATGGGGAATCGTAAACAAGTACCTCGGACAATGTCTGCTCGACGGATGTGGAACAAGGAGCCAGAATAATAAACTCGGGAGCGTAGGATGTGATACGTTGCCAGTGTAGCCTCTCAGACGCACAGCCTGGTTTTTGCAAGCCGTCGTAGGCACCGGACAGGATTTCCATCTCCGCAATCCATCGGCCCCCGAGAGTAAGCGGATCGAGGCCTTGAAGGAGAAGCAGTCTCGGCTGGTGATGGACAGCGACACTAGCAGCGATTCTTCTCAAGCGGAGTCGGAGGGAGTTTATAAGTTGGCAGGCTTCCTTGTACAAACCCAGCATGTCCGCAAGATCCATGATGAATGCCCAGATATCAGATAACTAAGGAGTGAAAATCAGCACCGATTTATGGAGAGCTAGATTTCCTCGTACCGTGTGTGGATTTACAACGAACAGCCTCGTATCTTGGAGGCCTGCTCTGGTAATCTCTTCAGTCACGTCTTTGCTATCCATGTAGCACAGAGAGCACACTTTCTGCATGAACAAAAGCCTCACGTTATGACATTCTCAAAAGAACTTTTCTAACCTGAGTGATAATCAAATGAGGCTTGGTCTTCGAAAGCCATGGGAGATCGAGTTTGTACGACAACTCATTCTCCTTCCCAATGCTGGATCGCTGCTGGTTGCGACACACCTGCAATATACGTTTTCATGAACATAGTAAAATAACCTTTCAAGCGCAAAACACGACACTTACAATATGTCGTCCCATTCTGACTCCAGCCGGCTTATCACACGCATCGGTCACCCCAAGCAAACGGTGTCCAGCCCCTGCCAGAAACTAAAAGCGTGTGTCACTATTACAACTTTACTAGAAAAACAAGGAAACTTTACCAAGCTTAAGAAGGATCTCTGTAGCCACTGGAAAGAGCGACACGATCTTGTGTGGTATCACTTTCACGGTGAAAGGCACATAAATGCCTTGATTCGGGTCCATTCTTCTTGTCGTCGTCACTAAACACTGTCGCCCAGCTGCTCGACCCTCCTCACTTATGAACTGATCATCCATCGACGTGACAACCTCTGTAAGATCTTGTGGGGACAAAGCATCCTGTCCGCGAGCATCCCAAACCTCGGATTTAGACCTTGCAATCCTGGCAGAAGAGCCATCCTCAGTCGTCTCTTTGATGTCAACTTCGATGTCGGGACACTCCTCGTCGATAGTAAGGCGTGTGTAAACAGGACTTGTACTGAGAGACCTTGTATGTCTCCTAAACGGATCTCTTCCGCGCTCACTCCAGTCACCACTAGATAGCTTGCCGTGAAACTTTGTGCGTTCCATACGGGAAGGGGACATCTCCCTCGATTCTCCGAGGGCCGCTGTCACAGCTCTTGCTGCAGCGGAGCCAGCGGCCGCTGCTGCTGCTGGGCCGGCATGCGCTACTGCAGAAGCAGAAGCAGCGGCAACGGCAGCAGCTTTGGACGAATCCATTCTGGAAGATTTTTCAGCCATAAGTCAGAAGTTAGGAGCGAAGGCGAATGAGCAAACCTGCAGCGGTCTATGAGAGTGTGAACTATAGCCGGGTTGCTGCCGAAATGAAGCCGCGCAAACGTAGCCATTGCATTTCCTTGCATGTAGCCTTCTACTTCTTCCATCTTTTCTGAGGTTTCATACTTCAACACGAACCTGTCGCAATTCACAAAATCAAAATGACAATAAACAAATAAATAAACTGGCGTACCCTCTCGGACAGATGTTTATACCATCTGCCTGCAGCCAAAAGACCTCGCTACAGTTTAACATGTATCCGCGAATTTCGCCAATATGAGGAGGAAACAATACGCAACTTTCTTGTGTTGTTGCCTGTTTATTCTTGATAATGTCGAACGAAGAAGCAAATAATGAAAACCAAACAAACCTTGACATATTCTTTTGTTGTCGCTCTTAATTTCATTCGTGTCCAAAAAGGAAAAACGCCGCACATAGTGAACGGCTGGTGCTTGTCTGTCTGCAAGGGACAACGTCATTCAGCACCACGCAAGAACTAAAATTTGGACACCATACCTCGATGCCTTGTGACAAGTACATAGCGCCTCCAGCTTCTCCATAGATAATTCCTCCGGCATCAGCGAATGCTCGCACCGCGTAGAGGAGTTTCTTGTTCAGAGATAGCTTCTCCAAGTGATGCTCCAAATAGCCGCCTCCAAAGATAATAGCATCCAGTCTCGTCGGGAGGGAGTCCTTCAAAGGTGAAAAGAAAACTATTTCTGCTCCGGCGTCTGTCAGAAGGACAAGAAATCCGCAACTTAAGAGAGACAAACACGAAAACACGAAGTAATTACCTTGAAGCAACGAGAGATTCTCCTGGTAATAGAGGCAAAAGGCAGCATCCCTCGCGACTCCGATGCGGACTTTGGCATAAGGTGGCGCTGAACGGAAGTTTTCCAAGTAAAAGTTCGTGCCACCCTTTGGCTTCCACACACCGGCAGCCTCTAACAGACCATCCAAGTCGACGTGATGCTCAATCAAATCGGCAAAAACTTGAATGTAGCTCGCCGGTACTGCTTCTTCACCACTCAGGCTCGGGTAGAACTGATTCTCAGCCAAATGCAAGCCGTCTACGATAGGAATGCCACCGAGAACTTTAACGCTCGAATCGATGGCAGACACAGCTTCCATAAGCCAAGCCTTGTGAGCGGAGCTCTCCAGCTACATAGAAGAAGAAAACAAGAAAAAAGATAAACTAGGAACGAGAAAACTTAGTAGCAAACCTTGTTGAAGATAATTCCAGCAAAGGTGACTTCTGGATCGAAAGCGGTGTATCCTCGAATCAAAGCTGCGGCACTTCGAGCGAATCCTCTGGTATCAAGCACGAGAAGGACCGGAGCTCCCAAAATCTTGGCCATTTCGGCAGTGCTTCCGGCCTCGGATTTCCCATCGCGGCCATCAAACATTCCAAAGACTCCTTCCACGATTGCAACGTCAGTAGCTGGAGCGCATCGAATGAAGCACGCTTGGTTCGCCTCTCTGGAGAATACAAAGGCCAAACAAGAATATCAAAATTCGCGCAGAGTTCTTGAGATTTTCACTCGCCTGCTCATCATCCAGCTATCCAGATTGTAAGAATCATGCCCCGTCGCGGCCTTGTGATGCATTGGATCCGAGAAATCTAGAGCGCGGAGGAGGTAGGAATCTTAGAGCTCAAGAGCATTTATCACTCACCGGGGCCAATCTTGAATGGATGGACGCGAAGGCCGCGGCGCGTGTAGGCCGCCATGAGGCCGAGCGCGATGCTGCTCTTGCCCGCCCCGCTGCATGTCCCCGCCACAACGATCGCCCTCATCGCATTCTCACACTCCAAGTTTTAGGGTTTCTATTGGAATATGGAAATGAAATACAGAAATGTACGGCTACGATTTAGACTTCACATTTTTAATTTTAATAAATGATATTAAAAATGTTAAGTAGAATTTAAAAACGATATATTTTTATCATAAATGTTCTTGAAATTTATAATGCATTAATAAAAAATTTCTTTTCAACTTAACATATAATATTTTGAAAGTATGTTATTGCTATGCTAAGATATATAAAAACATAATGATTAGTGTATTTTCTCCATAAACTTAAAAGAATTTTATTGAGTTTTAAGATGTTTATAAAGATTCATAATGACTTATTCTTTATAAACATAAACTTAACTTTTAAAATTCCATCCATTCTTTTAAAATTTCCACCAATTGATTTCAAATCATCACTAAATCTTTCTTAAGTTGTTACCACATAAATTTTAATAAATTTTTACTAATTAAATTACTTCAAATTTGGTTTCGATGTATATTGCACTCCTCTAAAGCACAATTTGAGTGGTTTTTGAAACCATGCTTCAGCTTTTTGGAAAGCTTCATTTAAGATTTATTTATACTAAAATACGAAAGTTGGCAGCAAGCTCTGCTAGCGAATGCGTTCCTCCATCATGCACTGGAGTTCTCGCCTTTTAGTCTTGCTTGCCAGTCATACGTACCTGTTAACATATTCCACCATGCTGCATGCTCCTGCTGACGACAGCTTCGGGCCTTTCGAAACTCCTCCATGTAGATCTGCTCCACGAAACACGAGCAGAACTCGTGCTCTGATACAGAGTACCTTGGATCCTTATCGATCGTTTGCGTTCTCCCATGGAAGTTGCATATAGCTTCTGCATTGTCCAACATTCGCACGACTTGCTGGACTGACCTGCGGACGAAAGACATTGTTCGTCCATTGATAAACTCCAGGAGCACCCTCTGCCAATCTTCCTCATCTTTCAAAAGCAAAGAGACTTCATTTGGCTCCAACTCAACTGGTGGAGCAAGTCTCACGGTGTCGCCCCACAAAAGTCTTGATTTGCGTCCGCCTGCCTGCTTGATCCGAGCTATCTCCATGCAAGCCCCATCCAGCTCGTCCAGAAACTGGGGATGGAAACCAGCGAAGAAATCCATGTCCTTGGTCCGCTGCATATCACCAGCTACGACGGCTCCCAGCACGGAGTGAAGAAGAAAGACTTCTCTTTGTTCCTGCAGCCGGGATTTAGTTGGCGAGCACGAGAAGTATAGAAACGATCAAACCTTGGTAAAACCTCCGACACAATAGATCGCTACTCGCTCCGAGTCGGCAGCCTCTGCCTGGCTCGCTTCCGGGGACACGCCCCACACGATTTTGTAAGGAGAAACGATGGCTTCGAGCGTCAACAAGGTATCTTTCAGCTCTTTCGAGTCCACTTTTTTAGTGCCACTGTAATCGCGAGTATCCAGGGCCTCGGCACCGTCAGCAACGAATGTAAAATCGTCACCAGCGGCTGCCCTCTCCCTGAGAAACTCTTGAAGCCTCGCTACGCTCACGCCCACTCTCCAAAGAGCCTCGAGAGCCTCGAGAACCGGCTTGTGCTCGTCCGCGCCCGAGTATGCAAAGCGTAGCCCATCAAGTAGCCATCGCAGCAACACAGCCGGCGAGCTGGCACTCTCCAAGTTCCACACGCAAACGATCACACTCTTCTCCGAGCCAGCGCGGCAGCCATTGCCCTTAACCGGCAGCTTTTGCCGGTGCCCTTGGGACCGACAACAACAAGCTCTTGCCCGGGTTTAAGAGACAGGCAGTGCCACAGCAATTCATCCATGTCCGGTGACCCCACGAAAAGGAAAGAGCCTCGATTACGAGTGTCCATGTAAGGAACAATGGTCACCTGGTTGGGATTGAGTAGATCCTTGCAATTTAGCGCCTTGATCTGCTGCCAGGATTCCCCTGTATCATACCCGGCTACGCGCCGCCGTTTCCTCGCAGCCTCTGCTCTCTCCATGAATGTCCTAACCTTTTAACCCCTGGTATATAAAAGCGGATATTCCAATATGCTCAAAGGGTTTATTAAAATTTCCCGCCAAGCCATCTCATAGCTCCACCCAGTTCTCACAATTTTTACAGAAATCCTCACACGCTTTCATATACTTTTTTTGAGGTTAGATTCTTGAATGAATTTTGCCCCGCTCTTTCTTTTCCACATACATATCCATCTTGTTTTTTGTCAAGTGATCTTTGGGGGAATTTTTCGATGTCCATGGTCACCATAGTCACTTAAATTAAGTATACACCATGTTGGCTAGAGCTTGCTGTTTGTAGGTGGCCTTCAAGGTTGCCTAGACATCATAGGCCTTTGTGCAACGTGAAACATTGTAACAATAGTAGCCTGGAAAAGTTTTTCAAAAGCTTTACCCATCGTGCATGTTCATCTTGTGGTGCCGCTAGAGGCTCCAGACCTGCTTCACTAACGCCCCACAAACCTCACTTGTCCAAGGAAAAGTCTGCTGTGGAAAGTTTTGGGGCACCAGCTATTGTACACTAAAGAAATATTTAAATTCACTCTTTGTGAAATAATAATAAAACTTCAATGTATAAATATAATCATAGGCAACTGACGTGGCAATCTTGGATTAAAGGCAAGTGCTTTCCATAATAATGGTGACCTAAGGGTTACACCAGCCATTTTAAAAAATTATAATCTTGAAACTCACCCATTCAAGAATTACAACTTTAAAACTTAAAAATCCAACATTGAAGGGAATCACAAGCATGAAGTAGAACAATCCAAGAAATTTAAATACAAAACTTGAGATTTTAACATAAACAAAACAAACAATCAAGATCAAGATTCTAACAAGCTACTAGAGCTTAGTTAAAGAGATGATACAAAAGGTGTCTCTTGAAGCTACTATATAAGCTTGTGAAAATGTCGGAACACTTGATGTGAAGCCTACAGATTACACTTATGCTTTCTACTTAAAACAATCCCATCTGAATCTCCTATTGCAATTCTTCTTTTACTCCTACAAAAGTGCTAATTGAAATGCTTATGGATGAGGCCATGTTACCAAAAAACTTTGTAGTTGGATTCAAGAAGACTAGATAATATCCTATGCATCTAACATCAATGGATCCTTGAAAATGTGAAAGATACTTTCAATCACGTACCAAAAAAGAGTTCTCACCTTTTTTTATTTGTTTGTATGCAAATCTCAATAGTAAGAATGACATCTTGGAGATATTTCTTCTTGCCATGAGCTTGGGAGAAGATGTTGAGAACTTAAGCATTGGAAGAGAAGATCCACCACTAATAGTTTTACATTTGATGATATTTGTCATGCATTAATCACAAATTCATGTGTGATAACAATTTGTCCTGATACCTTATGGGGCATCTCTCACCAATGACAAGTATATTTTATGTTTAGAGACAAAAGAGAAAGCAAAGCAAGCCAAGGCATCAGGAAAAAGAAATAAATAAGCAGCTAAATTGAAAAATAAAAAATAATCTAAATAACACTAAAAAAAGCACAAGAGGGTATTTGACAAAGTGTAATTTTTACATACTAGAAGTGTTCTTTCACTACAAGTTTAAAATGCTCCAAAAAAATAGTAGCAATATAGTAATTAGAAATACTTAAACCAAGTAATATTTGGCTCTATCCAAAAATCTGAGTACATAGAAAGTAAAAATTAAAATATTCTTCTTTTGTTCAAAGTAAATTTTAAATATCAAAATCTTAGAAATCACTTCTCAATTTGATTAGAGTTAGAAAATTTCCTATCTAATTTCTATATAAACATCATTTTTTCCAAAATAAAAGTTTTTATTGACTATTACTTGCAAAAACCTTTTAATCTAATCCAATTGCATTGTTTACAACTCATTTCAGCTTATTGCTTGTTTCCCATTTAAAATTTAAAATTTTACATAATAATTTATATTATCATTTATTTCCAAATAAATTATTACACTTAAGAGCTCCTCTAAAGCACAAGGATAAAATGTTTTTTTTTCAATTTAATATATTTTAAAAGCATTTTAGAAGAAATAATATGTGTATTATGCATTCTTAATTTTCATAAATATTATTTTGTTATGCTATTGTTATGCTAAGATATATAAAGCATAATGATTAATACATATTTTTTCCATGATTTAAAATTGTATATATGCAAATTTAAAAAATAATTATTGAGTTTTAAGATGTTTATAAGCCTCATAAACATCTTGAAACTCAATCAATTTTTTAAAGAATTGTGGATTCATAATGAATTTTACTTTATAGATATAAAATTAATTTTTGAGTTTTTACATGTACTTAATAATATACTTGTTAGCAGTAATAATATTCTATCCATCCTTTTAAAATTTTCACCATTTGATTCCAAATTATTATTAAACTTTTTAAAAAGTATTTACCACAAAATTTTTAATAAATTTTTACTATTTAAACTACTTTAACCTTCAATTTAGTTTTGAAGTAATCCAATCAAGAGAGTTTATTGACAAATCCTCCAAATATTTTAGTCTCTTCTAGATAATAAATTAAACATAAAATATTCAATAGTAGGAAAAAACGAGTTTGAAATTAATTTTTCAACAGTTAAAGTTCAAAAAATAGTGTGAAAAGAAAATAAAAAGTTCTGCTTTCTTTTCACAATTGAAAAATATGATGATTAAGCCGAAGAAGATTCAATTGTAATGCGTGAATTGAACATGGCAAACTGTCCATTGAGAGATCACTTATATGTAGTTTTGTAACTAAAATATACAATAGATTCATATATGAATTACAAAAACAATATAAATACATAATGTATTTATTTAAAGCTTAAAAAAATATTAAAGGTAATTTACTAAAAATTAATTTAACTATTCAAGTAGTCAGGTGGTAGGGATACTAGAGAATATAATCTTTTTTTCTGTTAAAACATATTTATTTACCATTATTTTATATATATATATATATATATATATATGATTTTATAATTCAAGTAATCCTCAATTAATATTAATAAAATTTTAACTTATCACTATAGCCTAACAACTTTATAATTCATTATTATGGCTTAAGGACAAAATTTAAAAATATTAGCAATATACAAGGTGTTTTAAAAATGATTCACTCAAACTTAAATCCTTTGTTCATATTGTGTAGCATATTAAAAAATACTTAAGTTAAGGTGATAACTTTTTCTTTTAAGACATATCTTTTTAGGGACAAAAATTTAAAACAATTTTTACTTGACCTAAATTTAAGTTAAAAATGTACCCTTAGGAATAAGGAAAACATCTTAATTATACTCAAATGCTATAAAAGGTACGGGGCACAATTTGTGGGATCCATTTCAAGTATATTCTTGGAAGCCAAAGATGCCCTCTTGGATCTGTCACTAAAACGCTTGCAAGATGTGAGGAGCGATCCCCACACAGCCACTTGGGACTCAAATGGCATGTTGTTTATGAGCTCTTCTGCTGCTGCTATTCTCCCTGCTCGTCCCAAAGTGTCCACCATCGCATTGTAGTGTTCTTGCCATGGCAAAATCCCATGCTCGACACTCATCAACGTGAAAAAATGTGATGCTTGATCCACTAATCCCTGCTGCCTAAAAGCATTCAATATGCTCAAGAAGAATATGGCATCTGGAGCGCAATCGCCCTCCAATTCCATGTCCCGGAAGATACCCATGGAATCTTCGCAGTGATGGCCTCCGTGAGCAAATGAGGAGACTAACGTCGACCATGAAACTACGTCTCTCTCTGGCATGCGATCAAAGACTTTTCTCGATGTTTCTAATTGCCCATTTGTGGCATATGCTGTTATCAAAACGTTCCAGCACGTAACATTCCGTTCTGGCATAGCAAAGAACATAGCCTCGGCCTCCTGGAGTTTTACACTGTTTGCATAAGCTCCCACCATCGTTGACCAAACATATATAGTGGCATAAGGAAGACTCGAAACCATTGCTTCCGCTTCTTCCAAGAGCCCAGTTACTACAAACGCTTGGATCATAGCATTGCAGCACACGCAATCCTTCTCTGGTGCTAGATCAAACAAGGACTTTGCGTCTTCTACAAGGCCAGCATCGGCAAAAACCCCAAGCATTGTCGTCCAGGTTACCGCGTTCCACTCGGGCATGAGCTCCAAGAGCTTTCGAGCGTCTCCAAGATGACCATTTCGGGCATACGCCTCGATCATCGCGTTCCAAGAAGTTATTCCTTTCTCCTCATCCGATAAGAGCTCAAAGAACACCTCCTCGGATTTTCCCAGCTTTCCCGCCTGTGAAAACGTAGCGATCATTGTATTGCACGACACCCTGTCCCGACGTGGCATCGTACGGAACAAGGACTCCGCTGACGCGGCACGCCCGTTGTGGGCATACGCCGACAGCATGGCATTCCACGTCATCATGTTACCGCCAGGCGCTGATGCAAACACCCTCTCGGCTTCCTCTACGTGGCCGTGGTGTGAGTAGGCAGAGATCATGGTGATCCACGTCACCGCGTCACTCTCGGGCATCTTGTCCAGCGTAGCAGCCGCTGCTACTAACATCCCATTGTGTGCGTACGTGGCGAGGAGGGCATTCCACGTCACTAGGTCCCGGCGGCCCATGGAATCGAACGCCAGCTTTGCTCGTTGGACATCTCCCGCCTGTGACCACCCACTGATAATCGCGTTGCCAGATGCCACATCGTCTTCCCCGAGAGGTACGTTTTTCGTGGCGTCCTCTACGGATCCAGCGTGAACGTAGGCGTAGATCATGACGCTGCGCGAGCAAGAGCCATGCTCGGGCATCTCATCGAATATGCGCTTTGCATAATACAGATGCCCAGAATGGGCATTTGCTGCAAGGAACGTATTCCAGGACACAAGATCCCATTGAGGCATTGAGTTAAAAAGTAAAGTTACGTCCTCGAGTAACATGCTTTCGGCGTAAGCAGATAAAAGTATATTCCAGGAAACAATATCGGTAGCCGGCATGGTATTAAAGCAAGCTTTTGCTTTGGAAAGATATCCGCAAGCAGCATATGCTTGGATCATAGCATTCCAGGAGACAGCATTGTGCTCGGGAGTGGAGAGAAAGAGAGCTTGGGCCTCATCGAGCCGTTGGTTCTGAGCGTACGCAGCAATCATGGTCGTCCATGTTACCACGTCACGCTGCCAAAAGGGCATGGCATGGAACAAACGCTGGGCTTGATCCAGATGCCCTGCCCGGGTATATGCTGCAAGGATGATGTTCCAGGAGAAAACATTAGGGTTCTTGATAGAATCGAATGTAGCTCTAGCATCGGCAATGCTGCCACATCGCGCGTACATCGCAACGCAGAGATTTGCGAGAATGATGCCACTCCCGTGCGCGGTCGAGTCGTGAATCCGGCTGTGGATACGCTTCGCGCGCTCAAGATCCGTGCACGATTGGAGAAGACGAGCTAGATCATCGTGTGAAGGCGCTCTCTTGGATGGAATTTGGACAGGCATCACAGATTTCTTGAAGAAGTGCCCAGCTCATGGTCGCGAAGAACCCTACGAATTTTGCTAGGGTAGAGAGATGAGGCCGCGATGACGATGGCGAGCGATGTTACGCTCGTGCTACAATCAGGTAAGTAGCAGCTCCAGGAATTTCCAGTCGCGATTGGCGAGCACAAGGGCCAAGATTTCCAAGAAGATCGACGTGGTTGAGACGATCGGCCGCGTTCTCAGTGGGGGATGGACGCCCGACACGGCGAAGAGGCTCGAGGGTCTAAATGCTGGCCTTGTAGAGCCCCAGCATGCCGTGGAGGTCGTGAAATCCATCAAAGATCGCCGAGTAGCGCTCAAGTTCTTGAGCTGGGTGGAAGGCCAGCGCGGTTACTCTCATTCCAGCGTCTCCCTCGATGCCCAGAAGAGAGTCGTGAACCAGCTCGTCCAGCAGATCCAGCAGCGCGGCCCGGGCTTCTTGGACGTGGACGAGGAAACTTTCAAGCTCGTTCTTCACAGCTTGGTGAGAGATGGTCGATCCAAGCTTTTGATACCGGCTTGCGAGGCCATGATCGCGGCAGAGAATGGTTTCATGGCTGAGAAGGATGTCCACAACGTTCTTCTCGAGATTCTCGTCGCGACGAACTCCACGGACAAGGCCTTCGACGCGTTCAAGACGATGGTAGCATCCAACTTTGCTCCTCGATCCTCGACGACGCTGGAGAGTTTGATCCAGCTCCTCGCAGCGAAGCCGGAGGAGCGTCTCGCAGAGATCGAGAGCGTGCTAGACTGCCTGGGATCGCAAAAGGTGGCCGTGGAGTCCAAGACTTGGTCGGCCGTCGTTGCAGCGTTTGGGAAAGCCGGAAAGGGAGTTCGCGTCTACGAGATCTTGAAAAGAATGAGCAAGGCCAAGTGTGCTATAGGTGGTGACGCTTATGACTTCGTCGTGCAAAGCTTGGCTAAAGCGGGGATGCTGGCACAGGCACTGGAAGTCTTCGAGAAGATGAAGAGCGAGTCTTGCGTACCGTCACTCGTAACTTACAACGTCCTCATCAACAGCCGCTGCAACGCTGGTGAGTTTGGAAAGGCTCTCGATCTGTTCCAGAGTATGAAACGCGAGAAGAGAGTGGAGCCGGATAGATGGACTTACAACACTCTCATATCCGGGCTTTGCAGCTCGGGGAACACCGAAGGTGCCAGGAAGCTTTTGTCCGAGATGAGAGACAAGAACATCGCGGCCAACGTCTTTACTTACAGCTCCATCATCAAGAGCCTGGTGAAGGAGGCAAAGCCCGAGGAGAGCTACAAAGTTTTGGAAGAGATGATGGCAGCCGGGTGTAACCCCGATGTGTTTGCCTTCAACGGCGTCATGCAAGGCTTTGCGAGGTCCAACAACATGGAGAAGGCGAGAGAAGTATACCAACATATGGTGGAAAGCGGATACAAGCCGGACAACGTCTCGTACCACATTCTCATCCACGGCCTCGCGAAGATTGGCAAGCTTGACGAGTCCTTGAAGATCCTGTCCGAGATGGTGATGAGAGGACAGACGCCGTCCATGCAGGCGTACTCGAGCCTCGTTCGAGCGCTAGCCAAGGCGCGGAGAGTCGACCACGCGAGCAGCCTGTTCGACGAGATGATTCGAGGCGGCCACCACCCGGACAGACTTATGTTCTACGAGCTCATACTCGGCCTCTGCCAAGCGGGGAAGGTGAAAGATGCCTCGGAACGCTTCAAGCAGATGCCCAAGCACGGCTGCCAACCAAACGTCCCCGTTTACAACGTTTTGCTCCACGGCCTGTGCTCCTCCGGCCAGCTTGAGCAAGCCAACACCTTGTTCGCCGAGATGAAGAGCCACTCGTGTTCTCCGGACGTGGTGACTTACAACACGCTGCTCGACGCGGTATGCAAAGCCAGAAGGGTGGAAGAAGGCTGCAAGCTCTTCGAGGCGATGCGAGCTGCTGGCTACGTCCCAAACGTGATCACTTTCAGCACGCTCATCCACGGGCTGTGCCGCACGGGGGAACTGGAGAAGGCCTTGGAAGTCTTCGGCAGCATGCTCGAGGCCGGATGCAAGCCAAACAAGTACACTTACACGACTCTCATCTCGGGGCTTTGCCGGGCCGAGAAGGTGATCCAAGCCAGGGAGCTCTTCGAGAAGATGACTCAAGCGTGCATTCCCCCGGACGCGGTGGCCTACAACTCGCTCATCGCCGGCTACTGCAAGAGGGGCAGCATGGACGAGGCCGAAAAGCTCTACAGGGAGATGTCCGGCGGCGCAGGCTTGCAGCCAACGATTGTGACTTTCAACACGCTCATCGATGGGTTTTGCAAGCTGGGGAAGCTGGGCCGAGCGAACGAGCTCGTCGCGGAGATGGGAACCAAAGGTCTCGCGGCTGATTCTTGCACGTATCGCATCCTCATCGCGGGACTGTCTCGAGCGACGAAGCTGGACGAAGCTCTGGAGGTTTACAAGCAGATGAGGGAGAAGAAGTTCTTGCTGGATCCCGTGAGCTGCGTGAGCTTCGTTGGAGGGCTTTGCAAGACGGGAAACATCGACCAGGCTTATGCGGTGTTTGAGGCGACGAGGAAGAGCGGCGCGGTGCCAAACCCGGAGACGTTTAGGATCCTTTCCGAGAGCTTGATCAAGCTTGGCAGGGTTGAGGATGCGCAAAAGTTGATGGAGCCGGCAAAGGCCAGAGACATCACAGCACAATAACAATAAAAAAAAGACATTTTAGTTGAGAAGTAGAAATAAAAGTAATTGAGCAGGATTTAATCTTTATTCTCAATTTCACAACTGTGCGAAGGAATTCACATTTCCTTCTTTTTATTTTCCTATTTTTATCTTGAAAATTACTAAAAATTCCAATGTCATTTTTTCTTCCATAATATTTCTTCTTTAATTTTTCATAATATTCTCTTTTTTGGCCCAGACACTTCAAACTTTTTTTTCAGTGGACCAAGGATTGATGATATAAATTGTGAAGTAAAGATGAGTGTAGCAAGTTTAAACAAATATAATAAGAGTGAGGATGAATATAAATAACCAAGTACAATGAGTCCAAATGGAGTTGGCATTTCAAAACATTTTTTTCCTTCACAAAGGGGATAAGAAGTATAAAGGGGACAAATGGAGTGATTTTGACTTTTTATATGCAATGCTAAACATGATAAAGGTTGTGTAATATAAGTCTCAGAGGGTTAACCAGAAAGAAGACATATAAATAAGTTCTTGTGAGACTAATTGAAAGGTAAACATAAAAGTGGAATTTATTATTCACTGCAGTGGTATTTGGTAAATTATGTTTGCCCTTGAAATCCCTTGTTTTGGTTTAGAATTACAATTTCAAAGTTAGTTTAAGCATTTAACAATTGTATATAAAGTTGCAATTGATTGATGTTTATGCTATAGCTTTAGGTTTTATTTTTGTCATAGTTGTCAACAACTATATTTTATAGGTTAATGGTCCATAGGATTTTCAAGTTCTATGCAATAGCTTAGCTAAAACTCTAAATATTCCACCAAACTTGACTTCTTGAAGTTTTTTTATTTTTTGGATAGAAGGATGGTGTAATGTCAATTTATACTTCATAAGATTGCTCATAGATGCCCTGTTGCTAGTGGCCAATTGTGAACTACAATCAATACTCTCAAAAACACTCTAAAACACACTAAAAACTAAGTGTAATCTCTCATTAGAACTAAAAATATTCTAAGAACATTATTAATTGCTTTAAGAAAGGGGCATGGTTTTTCTATCATTGCCTTCCTCTTTATAATGTTGATTTCTTCTAGTTCTCTTTGGATCTCTATATCACAACCTAAATGCCACAACTATATCTAGAGCTTGGACTGCATGTATATATATTCTTATTGATTCTTTTATTCCTCCTTTGATTCCTTTGCATAATCATAATATAGGTATTACTAAGTATTTGGTTGTAATTTCTAAATTTTATATTTAAAGTTCTTAGGTGATAGAGTGTCATAAATATGACTGGGTATCAAAAGTTACCTGTCGGCAAGTCCTTTTAGATATTCTTTCTGTATTATTATGACGATAGGAGGTTGGTATTACTAGACCATTTATTAATCCCTCTTGTTTAAATGATAATAAACTTAACTTCATTTGTACTTGGTCAAATGAGAATAAGGCTAAATGTCTATTTAGCCAAGTATATTTAGCCTAATTTGTTAGTTTTCTTTTGTTTTATTTTATATTAATTTGACAAGAACCCCTACAATATTAATTGGTCCCTTAATACTTGTTAGGTGATAATTTATTATGTCCACCAAGACACTCTCACTATCATTTCCCCATGTGTTAGTTTTGTTTAGTCCCATTAGCTATTTATAAAAAATGTCTAGGTTTACTAATTGGGCATATTTACAGAATGTAGAGATTATTCTAAACACAATAATGTTATTCCCACTCTTAGATTCGCAATCTAACATTATTCCATATTGGTAAATTTTTGTAATTGTCCTAGAAACTAACTCCTGGGACTAAAGTGAAAGCCCAAAATAGGGGGGGGAGGCATAATAGGGATAGTGGGTAAATAAGGCATAATTAGAGCTATAGTTTAGCTTCTATTTATGTGTTTGTCTTTGTTCTATATTTGGCTTGGGTCTAGGCCTAAGCTCTAATTGGTGGAGCATTATATCCTTATGTTAAGCTATCGATATATTAAAATAACCCTAGACTTGGTTTGGCTCATTTTTGCGTGTTAGTCATGGCATTGAGATGCTAAAAGCTCTAAAACTATTCCAACATTGGTTCGTGCTCATACTCCTTCGCACCTTGAGTTGAATGCTTAGAGTCATTTTGTGCTCTAATTCCTTTACACCTTGGTTGTATTGTAATACATGTGATCATAGAATGAGATTTAAATATATTGTCACTATGAATCCTTAAAATCTTGGGGGATAAATGGAAATAAAATAACCATTAAAAGCTCTTTTATCAAACAAATACCCCTTTTTTAATTGGTTTAAAGGAAGAGAGATAGAGTGCACTATATGTATGCTTAAGAGTTTGGTTTGATGAAAATGATGATTTGAATGGGTATATGTTTGGTTCATATGGCTTCACATTTATCCCTTAGGTCTGGATTTTAATTACTTTTTCATACTAGATTGTATATAATAATAGCGTAGATCCATAGTGACAATATATCCAATTCTCATTCTATGATCACATGCTTTACACTTACCCCCCCTTCAAAGATGTCAATGTCTTTATTGACTATTGACTATTGACTAATAACCCC